CTGAAGAACAAAAACGCGAAAATAGGCTGAAGAACATATATTCTGTTCTTCAGTTTTCAAAGAACACATTCGTGTTCTTCACCATGTTCTCCAAAGAACGGAAGAACACAGATTTCTAACAGTGTAGATATTTTTGTTTCATTTTGAGTACAAAATTGTTTTCTTCAACTTATAATATTGAGTGTTCAATAACAACTGAAAACGTTTGAGTGTTTTCGATAAAGATCACGTTTCTCTGTCTCGAATCTGTGGAAATTGTTTATCTGTGAAATTTATCGATCGACGGTGAGTTTGGACAGGTTGAAACTTGAACTAAGTGGAACATTTTTTTCGAGAATTACATGTTTTCTTTTATTAATTTCACCAGTATGTTTAGTCTTGTGTTGAGAGTTATATTTAAAAATAAATAAAACAACATCGTTGTGGTGTCGCAATCCGTGAGATTTTTAAACAAGCATCTGAGTATATATTATACTTTATATTATTGATATTAGGCACGCTTTTGTTTTGAGGGAAAATCGATTACTATTGTGTTGTAATAACACAGAGTATAGTTTTTTTTCTGAATAAATACAAATTGGACTTTCAGAATAGACTAAGCATTGAAAGGCTCGTTTAGGAAGATGATCTCAGTGGGACAGGAGCATTAGTAGCATAAGTCTTGCCAAAATTTTGCGTATCATGTTAGAGAATGGTGCCGTATTTTTTAAATAATAAAAAAGAATATTCAACAGAAATTAGACTAAATATAAAAAGCAAGCAATATATAACAATAATTTTCTAGAGAACAACACATTTGTTTTTATAAAAAAATGCAATAACATAACATTTACTAAAATGGAAAAGATTATTACCTATACACAGTTCTTTCACAAATTACATTGGCGCAAGTATGTTTACTGTTGTTGTAGGTGCCGAGTCGGTGTCCGATGTTGTTACAGTAGCTTTTTTATTGTTGGTTGTTTTACTATTTTTCTTTGTGATTGATTTACTTTTAGCTGTATCTTCTTCTTCTTCATTCATGTCTTGCGTTGTTGTCATCTTCGCACCTGACTCTTCTTTTTTATCTGATTTTTTTGTAATAGTTGGACTTGAGATGGATGTTGCTATTTGTGTATTTGATGGTTCTTCAACGACGCTAGATTGTTTTTTAATTTTTGGTGTTTTATTATTAATTGATGTTTCTAAATCTTCTCGAATTAATTCTTGATTTTGATCGATAATTCCATAAGATTGTGCCCAATATAAAATATCATTCCATGAATTTTGTTTTATTTGAATATGTTGAGCTAAATCTAAATAAATTTTATTTAATTCATTTTGATCTTCTATTTGAATGGCTTGACAAAAATTTAACAATGTTTCTTTAATCAAATCAAGGCGATTACTTTCTTCTTTTTGACATTCTTGAAATATTAATTTTGCTTTTTTTCGATATGTTTTTAGGGCTCTAGAATAATCGTCTTCATGTAATTGAATTTGTTCATTTATTTTATTAACACTTCCACGTCGTTTTGTTTGCATATCAATTGAACGTTTACGTTGTACTTCTGTTGTTGTGATATTACTTGATATAATTTCGTGTACACTATCAGCTTTTTTCAAATCATCTAAAGCTTTTTTATACTCAGCTTTTGATTCATCTAATTTTGTTTTACAATCAGTTAACATTTTATGAGCTTCTTTAAATTGTTTTTTAAATTCTTTTGTACGACGGTGTTGATGAGATGATAAACGATTTGTTACGTATGTATCATTGATAACTTTACGATATTTATCGATAATTTGTCGAATATTTTGAACACGTTTATCTTCAATATCGGCTAATTTTTTAGCATTTTTAACTGTTTCAAGTTGAGCACGTTTTGTTGTATTATATGAACATAATGTATTTTGACGATTTATTCGTTTTGTCCAATTATCATTAAAAGATATTAATTGTTTTGAAAATTGACAATGTAAATCACAATAATCTTCCATCATTGATATTATATCTTGCGCTATGTCATAACCTAAAATATAAAGAAAATGTATATAAAAATTTATTCATACTAACGATTTAGAACATATGTATTATATTAAAAAATATAATAATAATTATTTAGCACAATTCTTTATTTTGTACAAACATAAAGTTTTTTTTCCTTTTCTGTCATTCTGTCTCATATAACATAGAAGGGACAATTGTTTAACCTTATTTTTAAATAATTATTCAATGTTCTAGATTTTCTCGTTATCAAAATAAAAGTTTATTTAAAGGAATTCAAAAAAAGTCTCGAAACGCGTTCTATCGTTTTGTTATTGTTTAGCTCAGTAATGATCAAAGATGTCGAAGATATACTTTCTGATTAGAGTGAAAGATATTGTGACTAGTAATGAACTTCTACTTAGAAACTGATATATTTTTAAAATGATAAATACAATGACTATAGAAGCATTTTTAGATTTGTTAAATTGACAATTTTGGGAAAACTTCTAGGAACTCGTGCACAGCCCATCCATAGAGTTATTACGAAAGTTTTGCAAAAATGACATCATGACTGAAAAATTGTATTTTTGTTTGGTAAATATAAGAGAGGGCAAGCATTCGATTTTGATAAATGGTATGTTTTTTGTTTTGAAGATAAAATTTACAAGTTGTGTGTGTATTTCTTTTTAGTAAGACGAGAAAAAAAAACGAGACCAGCATGTGTCAATTGTTTTATCAGTAAAGTAATCACTTAACTAATAAAAAAAATATTTTAAAACTTTAACAGTTTTTATCTACTATACATTTTTGCAAAATAAAAAGATAAATACAGAAGTTAAGAAGGAAAGAAGGAAAGAAATGCCAAGAGAGGACAAGAACTCTTTGTTGAACTTAATCTTATATTTTTTAAAGACATGTCGACGTACAAAATGTTGGATGTTTCTTCTGCAACATGGTGCATCATATTACTCAATGAAAGACCAGCAGGCGATCGAGTACCGAAATAAGTATATTTCTAGTAAAAGTTGCTGGTATCTCTCAAACGCTCTAGGCTTTTCACTTTTTCCGCTTTTTAAAAAATTGATTTCATTCCCATTTTCCGAAGCACCTCTAATAAATGCCTTCGTTAGGTATATTCCTTAATTTGAGTTTAAAACCTATTCTGTAGTTTTTCAAATGAGTGTGCGATCCAACATCCTTTGCGCACAAAATAAGAAAAATATAGAACATTTGACTGTAACAAAAACTCAAAAGATTATTTCCTAAATGCTTAAGAGTTTTTTGCTAAACCTTATAGGTTTTAATTATTATAAACCCTTAGGGTTTATAACGATTTTTTTCAGCATGTTTGCAGGTTTAGTAAACGACGCTTGTTTTTTAGAGTATAGGAAGATACGGTGTGCTGTTAATTTTCATCGTAATAACTTAATTAGGCCTTGATATGAGCAATAGTAGCTTCTCAAAAGAGATACAAATCTATATTTTACAATGTATCTGTTTTAATCAATTAAAAAGTATCTCCTTTGAGAAACGAATATTTTGGCAAGAAATGGCGTTTCTCAAAAGAGATACATTATCTCTCATTTATGTTAAGTGATAATAAGTACTTTATTTTTAAAATTTATTTTTAAAAAAGAAGTTAATTTGTCAACTGTTTGTAAACCGTAAACGTCAACTGTTGTTTCGAAATGTTTATAAATAATATTGCTCAAAGCAATGTTGTCTCACTCTGCAAAAAATTATCATGGATTTTGTACGAAAGCAAAGTCAGAAAGGCGCTTCTCCCATATTGTTCAAAGAAAATCTTTTTCGACGTCAATGTATAAATAAAAACGGTTCCGAAGGGTGGGTGTGTACAGTTAGTAGTTGTACTTCATCGATTAATTTACAAAATGATAAAATTATATATGTAAATGTTACACATAAACATGATAATACTCAGTTTCCTGCAATCAATTGCCTCAGGTTTAGTTAAACTTTTTAAAGATGCACAAACGCGACAACAATTAGCTAATCTATTCACATTACTATTAATGCCTCCAGAAGAAGTAATTGGTTTATTTTGTGCTATCGTCGAAGGATTCAGTAATATGGATGATAAATTATTAAAATTAACAGACTATGTCTTAAGAAATTATATTGAATGCCCGAGATATCCTATTGAAAAATGGAATCATTTTAATTTAATAGAAGAAAGACCACGTACAAATAATCATGTTGAAGGATATCAGCGTCAATTGAATGCATAAGTGTTGTTTTCCTGGATGATGAATGTTCAAAAAACAAGAACTATCAACTATACGTATGGAGCAAGAAGATGAGCAAGGCCGGACAACGAGAAAAAGAAAAAAACACGATGTTGTTCACGATATTCATCTGGTTTCTGCCAGACAAGCATTATTGACTGAAGAAATAGACTTAGAAGAATATCAAAGAATTTGTCATCATTTAGGATACAATTATTTGGAAGTGTTTAACAAAACTCGTGATAGGGATATTAGCACGGATGATGACGAAGATAGCGAAGATTAAAATTGCAAACAGTTGACAAATTAACTTCTAAAATATATGTACAAACTTAGTTGGGACGAACTGAAAATAAAAATTATGTGAAAAATTAATTGGGACAAAATGAGAAAACAAACTATGGGACTAATTAGAAGAGACTAATTCATGACGTACTAAGAGAATACTGTATTTAAAGAGTGTACAGTATAGACAAAAGAGTGGAGAACATATGAGAGAGCACAAGAGTGGAGCACACCTTGTTCTCCGTTGTTTTCTGAGTCTAGAACCCAAATTTCCCGACTACCACATGCGTAGCGACTGAGATAAACCTCAACAAACTTCGGCAGGTTCCGTTCTCTAGGTTTTAGGCTATAATGATCTCGAGGTTGCTTTAAAAGCGGATATATCATACACCATTCGATAGGTCTCGTAGAGAGCTATCGATTCATACCATATGTAACTTAGTCTGACCTGCACAGCAAACGTTAGATCGTTAAAACCCTAATTTCGAATGTGTATTCAAAAATAAAACGCAAAGCTTGTAGCCTACAGGTGGTCAGCTACTTTGGAGAACCTCGACATCAAAACTACGTAAATTTATGGATAGATAGGTTCAGCAGAATATAAGAAGTCAAAATTTATGTTATAACTTGGTTTTTGACTAAAAGAGCCGAAAAAACTTTTAGAGTAATCTCGATCTACATTTCGCGATATATTGTAATTTTTTGCTACTTAGGTATGTTCTAGAGACTTGCAAATTGCACCACTTGTACAACTTTTGACACTCTTTCTTGTGGGTCAATACAGTTGCAGTCAGGCAAATCCTTTTAAAACAGCGGATGTCAAAAGTTGGAAAATCTCGATCTACAAAGTGAACGTAAGACTCTGTTTTCCATTTTTTCGCCCGGTAAGAAAGACATTTAACAAAGCATTTTTACTCAGTTAGATGCACTCTTGCTCTTTCTTATGAACATCTCACATTCCCACAAAAACGTTTTCTCAAGTGCCCAGTTTTATTTTTATCTCGACCTACAAGTTGTCTGTAAAACAATTTTCGTCATAGACGAGCATAAACAGAAAAACAAAACAAGCATGAAGGCACACAGTTTGATACAGCATTAAATGTTCTATAAAACGTACTATTTGCTTTTTGCTTTTCGTTCCTTCTTTTGTTAGAAAAACTTACTTTTCTCTCAATAACTCATCTAAAAAACACGTTTTTTTCGACTTTTGCTGGGTTTATCTCGGTGAGTTGTTGAGATATCGAGCTTAGATTTTCTGTGGTAGTGAAGCAGGCAAACAGCGATAAAACAAAAAAAAGAATTTCGAAATCTGTTTTCAGAAACCGGAGTAATTTTAAAAATACGATAAAAACTCAATTGTACAATAAAGTTGCAAATGACTCATATATATCATATTGTACAAATACAGAAATATATTGAGAGAATATAAGAGACGAAGAGAGTTGAACAAAGAGGAGAAAATGTCTATATGTTAGCCTTTAACACAGATACGCAGTATGACTGCAGCTGCAAAATGGTTCAATACAAAAAACACAGGTTCAAGCTAGAACCTTTTTTTAAAATGTTGAACAAGTTTTATCCGAAATGGTTCTTGACATCGGCTGGAACCTTTGATGGTTCAGTGCAAAAACTATCGAACCTTACAAGGTTCTGCATCTCTACTAGAATCTTCAAAAAGGTTTCATTAGGCACCTTTTTTTAGAGAGTAGAAAAAAACAAACAGGTGAAAAACAAAAAATAAAGCTTACCCCCATTCAGTAGTTCAAGTACGGCACGATAATTATCATCATCATAAAAACATTTTCCTGTATAAGAATTTGGTCGATATTTATCAGAATGTGTTGTAATTGCTTGTTGTGAGCCAATACATGATGTCATCACGTTTGAATTAATTGCGCCTGAATTACGGCGCGTAATAAGCGATTTAATTATTGAATCCAGTTTTGTAAATTTATAATGAATCTGTAAAAAGACTTTTAAATAATAAGGTTCAACTTTACCCGAACGATGTTTGCAATGAAATGACACCTATCTTTGCTATTTATACTATGCAATCACCAATGAAATAGAGAAAGATGGTAGAAAACCGAACAGAAAAAAAGAGACGACTTCTATATAGAGAGATTATAGACGAAACGATGAATCATCGATATCAAAAAATGGCATTCAACTATTTCTGCTTCAAGGATATTACAGAACGAACAAAAAAAACAAGCACACACAACACAGTAGTAAAAGATTTGAGACTTCTTCCTGCTTCCTCATTCGTTCAGATACTTTTATACTTTTGTTTTCCGTTTTTTTCCGCTTACGAGGAGAGAAAACAAAATTGTTGCGTAATTCTTACGCAATAATTTTTCTATACGGAATAAATTAGTGGAAAAAACCCAAAATTTTTCTCAGTTTAGATTTTTGCATCAATTAATTTCAAAATATAAGAAACTTATAGAATTTTATTCTACGACTAATTGTGTAAATAGTTTCATCATATACATCTATAATTTGCTTATTGAACAAACAAAAAAGAAAAATTTTCTTATGCCTATAATCTTTTATGATGCAAGATGTAGATGATGAAATTCATCAGTATTTGTCATCATTAGCAATTACTGAATGATTAATTGCCCCACCTACTTCGTTCTCGTCTGTCAACGAGTATATTATTTATAACAATCAATACGTATGCAAGAATGACTGTATACGCGAGTCACGACATAGGTGAACCAGTATGAACAAGAATTTCTAAGTTACGAGTTACAGACTAACTATTTTTTGCTGCACTCGAATAATGAAGAACGAAGAACATATCCCACTGAAAGTAGAGACCTGCACGGGGAAAATTTTTTTTTTACCGTAGTTCTATCGAGGATGCTTGTGTATGCCCGTGCAGAAGAAAACATTTTTTTTCTCTATGATGTGCCACAGACCAGAGTTGTGATCGGTTGAAACTTTTAACCGGCCGGTTTTTGCCAATTTTTTGCTGGTTCAACTTCACGCGAGAAAAAAAGAAACGCAGTAATTAGAGCCTATATGTTCTAGATTTTAATGGTTGTGGCGAAGAGCCCTCATTTTTGCTAAAAACCAAATTATTTGTTGTTTAAGTAGACAAAGATCTTTAATCAGCGGGTTTTTCACTGGTTGAAAAAGCTTTTTTAACTGATCGGACCGCCTAGTAAAAAAAAGAGCGTGATTCTGCAAGTTCCTGCGGGAAAAATGAAACATTTTCACGCAACAGCCAAAAGTCTTCTGCGGGAAAAAAAGCACTTTTTCCGCCCCATTCTTGAGGAATCTTTTGAAAATCTGAAGAACTCCGTTCTTTTCTTAGGAAAAATTCAAAATTCCCGCCGTGTTTAAGACATTCACGAGGAAAAATCTCGGCAGAATTCTTCTCTTTTCCTCATGTAGAAGAATTCTGCAGAAAAATTCGGTCCGATCTTCCCCAGACAGTTCTTATCCGGAAACTTCTCGTCCGAACACTTCTTATCCGAACAGATCTTAGCCTTGAACACTGCTTACCTGGACCGATCTTACCCAGATAGATCGTGCTCTAGGATACTTCTCTGCAAAGGACACTTCTCACTGCCTGATACTTCATATCAAAGTTTGATGTTTTTTTCTGAAGAAGAATACCTCAGGACTTTTACATATTCGGAATCCGTGCGACGAGTTACGTTGGTCGGCACAAAGATCTCATCGGGACCTCTTCGTTTTTTGGATTCGACGGCTCCGGTGAAGGTTTTCACGGTATATTACACTATATTCAACTGTAGACGTCAAAGATACCCCGTTCACTTTTCTTTCTTTTGATCTTTCCGTCTCATATATTTTTCTTATGTGCTCGCATATATCTATGTAGAACTTTATTTGTCTTTATAGAAAAGAACAAATTTTCTATTTTAATCTAGGTATTCATTTGTTACATGTCCAAAAGAAGCAGTACTCATCTGATATTCTGCCAACTTCGCGAATTAAAATTAAATTAACTAGAGAGGGTCCATTTTCACGTTTTATACAAACATGAAACATGCAGAAAATAAAATAACGTAGAAATAAAACATCAGAATCAGACTGAATCAAAATTTGGAGTTTTTGTTTAGAAAAGCGTATCTTGAGATCTCTGAGACGTACTGTTATTACTACTCATTATGTTTCTGGAACAGGGAAAACTACTAATTAACAAATAAGAATGATAAATATATTCCATCGACAATGAAACAAAAAGGTTGTGGCAAAAAATCAGCTCTTATAAAATCAGCATTCTTATTTGTTAATTAGTAGTTTTCCCTGTTCCATAAACATAATGAGTAGTAATAACAGTGCGTAAAAGTCTTGAGGTATTCTTCTTCAGAAAAAAACATCAAATTTTGATATGAAGTATCAGGTAGTGAGAAGTGTCCTCTGCAGAGAAGTATCCTAGAGCACGATCTATCTGGGTAAGATCGGTCCAGGTAAGAAGTGTCCTAGAGTAAGATCTGTCCGGATAAGAAGCGTTCGGACGAGAAATTTCCGGATAAGAACTGTCTGGGGAAGATCTTTCCGGGATTCACTTTTAATTAACTATGGCTTTATTCGTGGTTTTTTTATGCGGGAAAATCAAAATTGCTGCGGAACAAAAGGAATTTTTTGAATATCGATTTGCACGCAGAATTTTCGTGCAAATTCTTCCATCGAGTGACCAGGTACACGAATCTCCTGATTTGACTAGATCGCTCTAATTT